TAACAGGATCTCACTACTTCCCTTATGTCAGTCATTGCAGTGACTTGTAATCAGTCGATAGAATGCTGGAATGTAGAAGATGGCTGACTTACTTTATTGAACAATTAGGCAGAATGCTGCCTGTAAATTTTCTCTGAGAGAATGAGAAGCTTTTTCTAAAGAAATGAGAGCTAGGCACTTAAGCCAACAAATTCACTAAATCTGTGTTGAGTGGCATGCCTAGAATCCAGGAGTGGCAACTCTTCCAACAGGCTATTTATCTTGAAAAGTTGTTCACCTTACTCTATTAAGCCTAATTGCAGAACGGCTTGTTAATACAAAGTACTGCAGTCTCACTAGGGACATGAAATTCTAATTGCCTGGTGATTATTTCAAGTGATATGAAAATGTTGGTGGCTCGTGTGATTTATAAACAAAATACACTGTTTATATTTGTGTGCAGGTGTAATAGATCAGGTTATTGATAATAACTGTTTAGAATCTGAGTTTACTGTGAATGTGAGTAATATAATATGGAAGAAATTCCTAAATGTTGGGTAAAACCGGTCACAGATTTTTAAAAAAACACCACATGATTTTATTATGGTTGAAAAATTAGAAAGCAATAAAGTAGTAAGCATAGAGTAAATTCAGAAATTGAATACTTTGTAAGAGAAAAAAGAACTAGAGCTCATCATGTGGTGCTAAAATGGTTGATATTACCAAACAAAAGAACAAGTGCACAGAAGAAATTAATAGATCAAGGGTCACTAGAAATGACTATTTCTGTTAAGATTTCAAGTTACCTTATCTCTTAGATTGGGCTTTGGATGTGTATTTCTGTTATAATTATCATCTTGTGTTCCTCTCACTTGACTTTTAGCTTTTAGACTTCTTGGACCAACATCCTTTTTCATTCACCTCTCTGATTCAGAGATCATTGGAATTTGCTGTAAGCTATGTTTTCACAGAGGCTGGTGAAGGAGTAGTGTTTGAGCGATTTATTGTCCAGTGCATGAATTTGATTAAAATGATTGTGAAAAACTATGCTTACAAGCCATCAAAAAACGTGGAAGGTAATTTGGCTCTTTCCCTGATTATGTCACTTTCTGAATGCTTTGAAAATGTTGGTCGCTGTATATTAAAAATATTTATTTGGGGCCTTGTGAAATATTTGTTGCAGACAGCAGCCCTGAAACGCTTGAAGCTCATAAGATAAAGGCATCTTTCTTCACATACCCAACGTTAACAGAGATTTGCAGGCGATTAGTCACTCACTATTTCCTGTTAACTGAGGAAGAACTGACAATGTGGGAAGAGGATCCGGAAGGCTTTAGTAAGAAACTATGCATTATCAGTCTTTTTTTTTAATGCAGTGTGTGCTCATTTTCCTGAATATCTAGAAATAATGTACGAGTTAACAACTGGCACAATTATTAATTGCTATCACAGTATTTTTATGTACCAGAATTACAAGTTTTCAGTTAGACTGTGAACTTTTGTGGTCAAGTTTGTGACTCACTAGTTAACGACAGTATTAAAATATTGGATATTTATGGTGTAAAACCTGTCATCTTGTGTGTGTGTTGCAGCTGTTGAAGAGACAGGGGGAGATTCTTGGAAATACAGTCTGAGGGTAAGCACCCAGATATAATTTAAATAGATATCTTGCAGGGGGGATGAACTTTACTGCTGTCCCTTAAGCACATTTTAAGATGTGATCCAGAGGAGTACTTTGCTGTGCTGTTATAACCTTCCCTCACTCCAGCAAAGGCATTCAAATACTGATAAACTCCAAGAGGACTAGGGGCCTGGACAATGTGCAGCTCAAAGGATGTGCCCCTGCCATCTCAACCGATCTCTTCTGCAACCACAAAGTCTCCCAAGCAGGAGGAGTGGCCTGTAATAGCTCTCCAGGACATAAGACATTCCATCTTCCTAGTATTCTTGCAATTTGGCATGGAAGAAGGGATGGAGCGGGTAATGTCATCAGCACAGCAGAACTGTTAAAAAAAAAATCCTCTATGCTCTGTGTTAAATTGATATGGCATGATACCTGTATAAAATCATGATGAGACATATCGCATGTTTAGTATCAGAGAGAAATTCTGTTGAAATCCTGTATCAGGAACTTGTTCATCTAAAAAAGACAAAGCACATCAAAAGACGAAGCACTTGTTTTATGGCTAGATCCAAACATATGTGAATGTAGCCACATATTTCTGTGTATGTATGCATGCATGACAGGTTTCCTTAGTTTCCTTTTCCAGTTTTCATTCTGCTGTATGTTTTCAAACATGTCTTAATCCTTTGCTTTGTCTGCTGCTATAAGCATGGCATAAAATAGCCCTAACACAAGAAGAATGTTAGTTACAGGAAGTTCAGAAATATTCTTGGACCATAACTATAGAGAGCAGAGAGATTAGGAATGGGCTTTTGCTCAGTGGCAGATTGTCTGCTTTGCATGCAGAAAGTCCCAGGTTCAATTCCCAGCATCTCCAGTTAAAAAGATGAAGGAAGGTGATGTCGTAGACCTATACCTGAGACCCTGGAGAGCTGATGCCATTCAGGGTAGACAGTATGGACCTTGAGAGACCAATGACTGCTTCATTTCACTAGGCATGTTGCTGTTTTTATTTAGTAGTTTTATCTGGATTTTATTTTAAAAATTGACTTGATAAACCTATTTTTGCCTTCTATCTTTTTTCCAGCCCTGCACGGAAGTGCTCTTCATTGATATTTTTCATGAATATAATCAGACTCTTACTCCAGTACTTCTAGACATGGTTCACAGTCTACAAGGTACATTTCGTCCTGAAATTATATATGTAGAATGTTGACTTAATCCTCCCTTGCCACTTCTCACACTCTCTAGACTGCAGAAATGCCTGGGAAGAGATACTCAGATACCAAAACTCTATAGCTTTTCACCACCTCTCACTGCAGTTTTCCCTGTGCAAAGTCTCTCTTCCTCTTCTTAAAGGTGAAGGAGTCTGTCATGCTCCATTCTGATGTCCAACAATCAAAGCAAGTTTTACTTGTTTTACCATGCCTGGCTGTTGCTGAAATGCAAGACCAGCTGTTACAATTTATGATGGAGCAGGACTAAGAGACATACGTCTCTGTTCCATCATTCATGTCGCTCAGTCCAAGGCTGCAAGCTCCAGATTCAACTGAAGCAGTGCTTGCCCAGGTTCATGTCTCCTCCCTGTCATGTGAGCCACTGCCAACAGGATCTGTACAGTATCATTGCTGCTCACGCTCCCTTTGCTGTCACTAGTGTGCAAGTCTAGGTCTAATAGCAGAATAAATTGAATAAGGTTGCTAATTGTGGGATAAAAATTGGACTGTGTGTGTTCTGGTTTCTGTCCAGATGGAGGATGGAATAAAATGGCGTGTGCCTTCAAATGGGGAGAGAAGGCAGTTTTAGGATGAGTGAAATAGTCCTGCTCCATTTCAGTGTCTTGGCTTTTACTTATAGGTAACTTCAGTCTAGTACCAATAATATTAGGAGCCAGCAGAGTAGTGTTAGACCTTTTCTGCAATCTCTTGCCTAGCACCTGGTCTGTAATAATAAGCATAATACATTTCCCCCCCCTGAATTATAGGTTTGCATTTTATTTTTTTGTTCTATTCTCCTTCATTTCAGGTCCCACCAATGTAGATGATGCCCAAACTCTGCTGATTAAAGATGCTGGTAAAATTCAGTTTCTTTTATTTTCTATTAACAGGTTCTGGTTGCTTGGTTTCTAATATATTCTAACTAGCCACAAAGCCCATTGTAGAAGCAATACAATGAGCTCTAGAACTATATGTTGGCAATCTGCCTTCACCCCCCCTCCCCAGACTCCGGGGCCGAGGGCCAGCAGAACGGCCCACCAGCGCCTTCCTGGCTGCCCGGCCCCCTGGCTCCGGTGGCAGAGCCCGCCTCCACCCTGAGAAGGACAGTGCTCCAGTCGGCCTGCCTACTCAGGAGGAAGCCCCACTCGGCTCCATGAGGGTCTCCTCTAGAGTAAAGTGGCTGAGGAGCGGTGAGCCATCCCCTCGGCCTCCTCAGGAGGAGCCCAGAAGCCAGCCTGAGCCGGCAGCGGCCAACTGGGTGGGCGAGCTCTGCCAGGGCAGACTGTGGCCTTCTCTTCTGGGGATGCGGCAGCTGAGGGGAGCCGGAGCATCAACGGCGTCAGCCCGGGGATGAGCGACATGGTGCAGCCGATGCTGAGTGCCCTGCCCAGCTGTTGGGGCAGCCCGAGCTGGGGGCTGGGCTCGGCGCAGGAGGCGATGCGGCAGGAGGAGGAGGGCCCGGCAGGGGCTTGGCCACCTTGCGGCTCGGCGAGGTCATCTGGAGCATCACCGCACTCACCTCCAAGCATGTACGTGGGAAGAGGGTGAGCTGTCGCGAGCGGGCTTCATTGCAGGCGCGGCTTTCAGCCTTGGCTTCTAGTATCACCAAAGAGGAAGGCGATAATAAAGGGAAGGGAGGATGAGAAGGGGCCCCTTTCAAAGACAAACGCGCACTTTATGTCTGATGATTTCCCTCACTTATATGGGGAAAAGTTATACTCTGCCTTCCTCCCTTATGAGGGCCCTCTCCTGGATTTTATCCTCACAGCAGCCTTGTAAGGTCGGCGAGGCAGAGACTGGCCCAAGGTCATTATCCAGCAAGCGTCCATGGCAGGGTGGTAGAGGGCTTGGCCTCATGACTGTTCGCCTGCCAGAGCATCTGTCGCGTCCATCTCCTCCCAGCAAACTGAGGCCAAGAGGCTGGGTGGCACGTGTGTGGGAGGGACTCCGGGAACACAGCCAGTGGAAAACGGGACAGCTACTGAGTGCCAGTTCAGGCAGCCAAGTAATTCTGGTGCACATAGAACTTTTCCACCCGAAAATGCAATTATTAATAAGGAGAGATAATTAGAATCATAGAGTTGGAAGGGACCTCCAGGGTCATCTAGTCCAACCCCCTGCACAATGCAGGAAATTCACAAATACCTCCCACCCCATACCCCCAGTGACCTCTGTTCCACACCCAGAAGATGACAAAAAACCTCCAGGATCCCCAGCCAAATTGGCATTATTTGATTTTGAAAAACAATATCCAAACAAGTCTGTCTGAATAATTCATTAAAGTAGTTTAGCCACAAAAGCTAAAATTAGAGAGTAGTCAGTTTGGTGTAGTGGTTAAGAGTGACGGACTCTTAATCTGGAGAACCAGGTTTGATTCCCCACTCCTCACAGCTCTCTCAGCGCTCTCTCAGCCCCACCTACCTCCTAGGTTGTCTGTTGTGGAGAGAGGAAGGGAAGGTGATTGTAAGCTGCTATGAGACTCCTTCGGGTAGTGAAGGACAGGGTATAAAACCAGCTCTTCTTCTTTATGGTATTTTTTATCTTTTTTTCCTAAAACCTGTTTCTGGGATATATGTGCAAGGCTATTTAGGAGAAATGGAGATAAATATCTTCTAAAAGCAGTAATTACTAATTGGTCAGATGGGCTGAAAAGCAATTGCTATAAATGGTGATTAGCCATGATTGTTAAATAGACCCAGAATATTTAGAGATCATATATATCTTGACTGTAAGATGCTGGAAACAAATAGGAAAGAACAGCTATCTCTGCTGTTTGTTTTTCTGAGTCAACAGGTAGACCAGCTTTGGAAATCTAAAACTACACTAGGTACAACATGATTTTATTCAGCATCAGTTCTTAAATTTTCTCTCGCATACTCAGTATTACTTAGTGTCCAATTCATACATAATATAGTAAATAAAATTTATATTGACCAGAGGCATTTCACATGTTTTTGAATTAAGTCGATTTTTTAAAGAAATAAAAATCCACATATTTTCCCCCTGCAGTGTATAATGCAGTTGGACTGGCTGCTTATGAGCTGTTTGACAGTGTGGATTTTGATCAGTGGTTTAAAAGTCAGCTACTAGCAGAACTGCAAGTGACTCATAACAGGTAAATCAACTAACATCTCTTATCTTTTGGCTTTTGAAATAAATTTAGTAAGGTTTGATGGTAAGATTCAGAACATGTTGGATCTTTAAAAAACCCATAAAATCTTCATTTTTTGTTTGTTATGCTGCTGAATTCAGGAAATACAGATTTTAATGTTGATGTTAACAGTGGCTTCCATTTCTCCATCAAAAGTAAAATGGGAGAGAGAAATGTGAAGTACCTTTTAATAGTATCTCTTTTTATATAAGGATGTGCAAGTTTGGAGTTGCATAGAACTCTTCGGGCTGCTTGTCCTCTGGCTCTGGAGTCTGGACTTGGCATTAAATATTGCCACAATATCTTCCTTGGCTGCTCTTGCCTCCCTTAATTTTCCTCCCATGATTTGTAGTGAACTATATGCAGCTCTGATGGATTTGGGGAGGGAACAGGCTCGGTTTAGTGCCATGCAAGTCATCCAGTACTTCCCAGGCCCCTGCAGCTTTATATGCAGCATTGTTTTCCACTGGGGCTTAAGCCATAAAGGCTGAGATTGTGATAACTAGAAGTACTTTGTGCATTGTTCAAATTCCATAGTACCTTACATAGTGGACAGTAAACTGCTATAATGTGAAAGCAAACTTGGTATCTCAAAAATACTTGACCAATTATTATAAAATTGTCTAAGGAGTTAGTTCTAGAGATTTTGAAAATTTTAAAATCCACCAGACCTCACTCCTGATGTATGTAAAATGGCCTAAACTTAAATAAGCAGAATTTTTCTCCCTGAAATAATATATTCTTGCATAGAAATTTATGTGCTACTGTATTTTTAGCTGTCACTGAGAGCAAGGATGTATGATATGGAGATGAGCAGCTAATTGATGGGAAAGATGTTTGCATTTATGGATAGAAACTAAATTCATTAAAATATGTTCAGGATATTGGTGTTTAAACTGTTGAATTTCATACAGTTTTAGTAGCCCTGTCCTCAAACAATAATTGTTTCCCCTTTAAAGGTATAAGCCCATACGTCGACGAGTAATTTGGCTAATTGGACAATGGATTTCTGTGAAATTCAACTCTGATTTAAGGCCTATGTTGTATGAGGCAATCTGTAATTTGCTTCAGGACCAAGACCTGGTGGTATGTATGCGTATCATTCTCTTTGACAAATATTTTGTGGTTGGTTGTAGATTTTCCAGGCAGTATGGCTGTGGTTTTGGCATTGTAGTATCTGACGTTTCGCCAGCAGCTGTGACTGGCATCCTCAGAGGTATAACATGGAAAGATGGAGTACTCTCTGTGTCATTGTGTCATAAACTGCAGTTCAGTACAATAGTCTTGAAAACTGGAGCCGCTAGGCCATAAACCAGACTGTGGCTCTTCACCTGATGGAAGCTTCAGCAAGGGAGGCCAGTATATGGAATAATTGGATACCCACCACCTCATAAGAACATAAGAGATGCCAATGTTGGATCAGGCCAAAGGCCCATCCAGTCCAACACTCTGTATCCCACAGTGGCCAGAAATACCAGTGCCATCAGGAGGTCCACCAGTGGGGCCAGGACATTAGAAGCCCTCCCACTGTTGACCCCCCCCCAAGCACCAAGATGACAGAGCATCACTTGCCCCAGAGTCCCTATCTATACCTTGTGGCTAATAGCCACTGATGGACCTCTGCTCCATATGCTTATCTAATTCCCTTTTGAAGCCGTCCATGCTTGTAGCCGCCACCACTTCCTGTGGCAGTGAATTCCAAGTGTTAATCACTCTTTGGGTGAAGAAGTACTTCCTTTTATCCGTTCTAACCCGACCGCTCAGCAATTTCATGGAGTGCCCACGGGTTCTTGTATTGTGAGAAAGGGAGAAAAGTACCTCTTTCTCTACCTGCTCTTTCCCATGCATAATCTTATAAACCTCAATCATGTCACCCCTCAGTCGTCGTTTCTCCAAGCTAAAGAGCCCTAAGCGCCTTAACCTTTCCTCATAGGGAAAGTGTTCCAACCCTTTTATCATTCGAGTTGCTCTTTTCTGCACTTTTTCCAAAGCTGTAATATCCTTTTTAAGGACTACAACTCCAAGATCTCTCTCTTGATCAGTCTCTGCCAGTTCAGACCCCATCAACGTGTATTTATATTTAGGATTTTTGGCTCCAATGTGCATCACCTTGCACTTGGCCACATTGAACCTCATTTGCCATGTTGACGCCCACTCGCCCATCTTTGACAGATCCCTTTGGAGTGCCTCACAATCCTCACTGGTTTTCACCACCCTGAACAACTTCGTATCATCCGCAAATTTAGCCACTTCACTGCTTACTCCCAACTCCAAATCATTAATGAACAAGTTAAAAAGCAGTGGACCAAGTACTGATCCCTGTGGTACCCTCATCCAAAGGCCTGGTGGAACAGCTGTGTTTTACAAGCCCTGCGGGACTGTAATAGGTTGCGCAGGGTTCCCCATGATCTGGTGCATAAACTAGAGAACTGTGGACTGGACTCTAGGATTTTTATAAATGATCTGGATGAGGGTGTGGAGGGGCTAATTAAATTTGCAAATGACACCAAATTGGGAGGAGGAGCAAACACACCAGAAGATAGAGATAGAATTCAGTGAGATCTGATGAGCAGATGTGAACAAAATGCAATTTAACAAGGACAAGTGCCGATAACAAAAATGAGACACACGTATACTGGATGGGAATATGCTTCTGAGTAGCAATGTGTGTGAACAAGATCTTGGGGTACAGGTAGACCAAAAGTTAAATATGAGCAGCCAGTGTGATATGGCAACAAAAAAGGCAAATACGATTTTGAGGTTTATCAACAGAGGCATAACATCCAAATCACAAGATGTGATAGTCCTGCTGTACACTGCATTCGTCATGCTGTACCTGGAGTCTGCACCTGGCCCTGGTCAAGGCTAAGCAGACATCTTTTGGGCTGGGGACAGCCAGCAAAAGTTGGTTTGCTGAGTGCAAGGCTCCCTGGGCACTTATGGGGAAAGGTGGTCACTCACATATGTCAGCTCCCGGCTGCATAGGGTTTTGAAGGTCAGTACCAACACCTTGAAATTGATCCGGTACTCAATTGGGAGCCAGTGCAGTTAGCATAATACTGGCTGAATGTGTGCCCACACAGTTGACACAGTCAGCAAATGGACTGCCACATTTTGCACTAGCTGGTGTTTCCGGATCAACTTCAAGGGCAAGCCCACATAAAGTGAGTTACAGTAATCAGGCCTGGAGGTGACCATTGCACAGGTCACTTTAGCCAAATCCCAGAGGGAGGGATAGGGAACCAGTTGCCTGACCTGCCGAAGATGATAGAAGGCAGACTTGGCAACAGTGGTGACCTGGGTCTCCATCAAAAGTGAGGCATCCAGGATCACCCCTAAGCTCCTCACCTGAGCCAGCACTAACGGTGCACTGTCAAAGGCAGTATACAGGTAGCCTGCCAGTCCAAACTAGTGTCCACAAGAGAGGACAAAGTTACTAGTACTTGCAAGTGAGCTTGGGAGAGGGAATCTCAGCCATACCTGTGGGCTATGGCCTTGATCATTTGAATCTTATCTGAAGTGTTCCCTCTGATTGTCCAGAATTCAAAGATCACAAGAGCTTGAGTTGCAATAGTGTTTTCTAAGGAGACTTTCTAAGGGAATGATCATAGTGTTCTGGTTCAATATAGTAAGGTGAGGGTGGTTCACCACCCATAGAGCTACCGGAATCAACAGTCTATGTGTCATAGAATGGGCAATTAAGTATCATATGCATCAAAGCATGACAATAATGAATATGAATGAATAATAATGGAACTCTCAACATACAAATCTCAAGTAGCTTACATGTACCAGAATCTGCAGATCAATCAACATTTGATGGGTGCATTGCATGCATGCATTTTATCTTGTTAGAGAAAGTGTATTAAGAGTGAGAGATGTTTCAGAACAGTACTTGTGCATTATTAAAATGCACAGTAATACAGATGGACTAGTAGACTTTTATTTGGACAGCTGCTGCCTCCTGCATGGTTTTGCAATGATCAGAGGTATTTATATCCATTTCCCTGCATTATATTTTATCCAATGCTTAGTACACCTTAGCACCTTGGTCTGTCTGAGAGAAAAATCGCTGTTTTCTGTTTTCAAGATGTGGGTAAACTATCACCGTTTCATGAACTGGTATGAAACAACGTTTATAAATTTAGTGAGAATGCAGTTGAAGTTGCTGAGTAGGTAGTTCTGACTGGCAGATAGTTCAAATAGAAGGGGGGGGAAACGCCTTGAAAAAGACTAAAATTTTAATAAAGGAGATAAGACACAACTGCAGGGCATATCAGTCTGAAGCAAAGCCATATTGCATTGAATAATTTCAGCCATGAGCTTATTGCACAATATTAAATCTTTCTATCTTTTCTTAGTCATGGTATAATCAATAGCAAGTAACTACAAAATAAAAAAATAAACATCCGCTTTATCCTCAACTTCAAAAGTTGAATGCTTATTTCAGGTTCAAAGAGAAATTACTTATGTATATCTCTTCAATGTTATTAATTTCAGGTTAATTAAAATATTATACATGAGTTAAAGTTATGTGCCAAGCTGAGATCTGAGTGAAAAGGTGGCAAAAGACATCTAGGAAAATATTTAAGGAGTTATATGGCAAAAAGGGGGGTTGTCTTAACAAGTTCTTAACATGATATTCTGATTCAAATTGCTGCATTATTTAAACCTTTTATTTTGTGTACCTATGTTAGGGGAAAGTATACCCAAAGAGGATTTAAATTTTGCATATTGGAAGGCATGTTAATCTTGTGCAAATAAATAAATATAGTATGCTAGACAACATGGCACTTCATTTTTTTTCCCTTTCAGGTCCGTATTGAGACAGCTACTACTCTGAAACTGAATATCCTTTTTCTTATTGAAAGTATCTATATACTAATAGCGAAGTCGCCCCCGTGCGTGCGGATACCTAAATCCGCGCATCAGGGGCACCTGGTGGGGGAGGGAGATTTTTGTGAACACTTGGGGCAGTCCCCAGGTGTGCACAAAAATCTAAAAACCCGGAAAAAATATCGGAGGGATACTTAAATCCCCCCCCAAGTGATAGAGCGTCCCCTGCGCATGCGCAGAAAACGCTCTGCGAACTCCCTCGTCGCCGCTGCCGCTTGGGGGGGGAGCAGCGAGGCCCGATCAGCAAGCATGTCTTTCATCAGGGTCCTCTATCTCCCTGGAACAGTATTTCATGGAAATCAGTGGGCTACAGTGTGAGGTAGGAAAATTCCATTCTGCTGATAGAAAACCTCTGCCTCATATGTGGAGGTCCCCCCCCGCGAGTATCGCGGGTCCCGCCCCTTGTTCTGATCTGATTCATCACTGAAAATATTTGATTATCTGTTCCAAAATATTCATTGTTGTGCACTGCAATAGCAGAGATTTCGTTTTTTCTTAACAACATATTACCTGTGGATGACTTTGAGTTTCGGACAGATCAGTTTTTACCAGTAAGTATTTTTCTTTGTAAGTGCAGATAAATAGTTCAGCTGAAGGAACAGTGAAGGGGAAGTGTGTGTTTTATATTTGATTTTAACTTTAAAAGTTGTCATTTTATTTAATATTCCTTTTTCTGGATTTTTTAAAAATGATATGACACTTAACATGACATTTGGTTTCTGAAAAGCACTTAATTCAAAAGCAAGAAATTTGGTTAAAATTAAAGTATAGCACCTCCTCTTGGATTTTCCAGTGATTTCTTGTTGAGGAGGGAAATTTGAAGTTCCTTAAATCTTCACATGCTGATTATCATTGACTTAAACATGATTTTAATGCATTTCTTGAAAGAGGAGTAATAGAAACGAGATTTTTGAAATCAGTTGTAAAAGCTCTACAACATGTTGGGATCCTGCTGCAGACCGCCTTATGATCACTTGTCAGGATTGCAATGGTGTATTCTCAGCAGGGCTTTGACTTGAGCTGCGGAGACATTTCCTTGCCTTCTGAAGCCTTTCCTTCTCTTACGAGTTTTGATTTATAACATGCTACTCGACAGCAGAGAGGAGTTTTGTAGTTATATTATCAAGACTGTAAAATCAGGACCATAAAAACTTCGTCAGTGAATCAAGTCTTTCCCAGTTCTGTTATATTTCACTTATTTTTAAATTGGCAGGGAGTTGAGAAGGAGGGGCCCCGCAGAAAGGAAGGGTAGAGAAAAGGGAGTTCAGGGAAGAAAGAGGGCAGGAAGTTGAAGATAAAGAAGGAAAAGAGCTGCAGGAAACCCTCACATAGAGCCTAGGAATGGGAATAAGTCATGTGCAGTTAGTATTAGAAGAGAGGGTTTGTGAGGAAGCTTTGGATGTTCTGGGACTTTGATCCATGGCATCATAGAATACAGACCAGAAGAGCTACAGGGGCCTGTATTTCACAGGGCCTCTAGAAAGATCAGTTAATGTCTATACTCCTGGTGGCTTTATTAACAAAAATCGATATGTTTTGTTTTGGGTTTTTTGCAGTATCTGGAATCCATGTTTACTCTGCTCTTTCAGCTGCTTCAAGAAGTTAGAGAATGTGACACAAAGATGCACGTTCTTCATGTTCTCTCTTGTGTGATTGAAAGAGTCAATATGCAGGTAACTTGATAATCTGAAATACGAAATCAGTAAGAAGATCTGTATAACCCCAATAGATTCACTCCTTTTTTCTGTGTGCTACATAATTTTATCACTGTCAGTTTTTATGATTTTCTCAGTCTTTGTGCAACAAACCAATTACCAGAATTTTTTCTCATGCATTGTTTGTATGACTCTTCGTGAACATGCAAAAGGGATAAACTGTAGCTTTCTACGTACAATATAACATACATCGACTTCACCCATAGAAGAGAAGCATGGCAGCCCCATTCCAACCTACATGCTGTTGCTCATTTGTGATCATGGAGTCTAGACACACAGGAAGCAGATGCACGTAAGATCTCTCTCTGTGATCGGGAACACTGTCTTTTCAGCATTTTTTATTACCGAGACAAGGATGGAGCCTGTGTGTACACAGTCCGTGCTCACAAGCTGGCAATTGGGGTTGGAGAAACAGCATGCTCGTGCCAGACCCCTCTGCGTCCATGCTGATTTCAGTGCATATGATGTCATATGTTTTGTGTCTCTGGTGATTCTGCATGCACGCATACACATTGAGTTGGATCTAGGCTAAGTTGGCAATTTCCACCAATTCCCCCACCACCACCACCTTTCTTTATATAGACCTGTGAAGCCCCCAGCACCAGGGACCTCATTCTCCTGTGGGATACCATCTTCTTTCCACAATCCCAAAGAAATGTCAGCATACCAGAAATGTATAGGTTGTCCTTTAATTGCTTAGCTTTTTTACAGTGCCAGTTCCAGAGGCCAATACCTTGTAGTCTAGCCAGTTCACCTCTCATCACCTCCACCAGCTCCCACCTAGGTTCTGGGCTGCATTTCTAGCCTGAGTCGTTCTCCCAGCTCCTTGAACTCCTGTCCTCTCTTCTGCACCATTTTTGCAAGGTTAAATCCAGGCTGAGCTAATTTGCCTGGGCCGGGCAGGAAATATTCCTTCTGTCTTCCTTCTTGGCCAGAAATGGTGCCTTTTGAGCCTTTCAAGAGGGCCCTTACTCCAGAGGAGTCCTTTGCTCCACAGGAGTCCTTTCCTTCTGGCTGTTCCACCCTATCTGTTGCAGTCCCCACTTGGCTTTCTTCTCAGCTCTGCTCCATCTCTTCACCCAAAGGGGGGTAGGGTGCCCTGGGCAGTGACAGACTCCTCACATGTCTTTCATCAGGGTCCTCTATCTCCCAGGAACAGTCTTTCATGGAAATCAGTGGGCTGCAGTGTGAGGTAGGAAAATTTCATTCTGCTGATAGAAAATGTAGTCTGGATCCAACCCATAGTTTTATTTATTTATTTATTTTTGTTGATTTCTATCCCTCCCATTCCGGCCCAGGCCGGCTCAGTAAGCACATTTCTGTTCAGATACGTGGTGACTGTCAGCCCAGTAACAATTGTATGCACAGTTCATGCCATTCATTTTACCCATCTTGTGCCAATTCCTACAATTAATATCTTCCTTTATTATTTAATGGGTAATGCACTGCATTTTCAAGGGGCTGCAAAATCTAAAACTATGCATTTTTAAAATGGCCTAAGCCAGGAAATGGCTATCTAAAATGTTAGAACAGCATAAGCCTCTTTCACTCATAACAGGAAAAAAATGAAGATACATTTTAAAATGAAATTTATAACCAAATGTATTTAAAAATACATTTTAATAAGGGTAGTAGTGGATAAGAAGAAGAGATTGGATTTATACCCTGCCCTTCACTACCTGAAGGAGTCTCAGAGCAGCTTACAATATCCCTTCCCCTCCCCTCTTTCGAGAACTGCTCGTGAGAGAACAGCTCTGAGAGAACTTGTGACTGACTCAAGGTCATGCCAGCAGCTGCATGTGAAGGAGTGTGTTTTTCCTTCTGAAAACTTTCCCCACCTTTTTCCAATATCCAATTATGTGGACGGCTGTAATAGACAGTCTGTGCTGAGAATACAGTTATGACAGTTATGACAGAAGGCACTAGCATACTTTACCCAGTTGTTTCACTTACATGGGGAGGGGGCTGTGGCACAGCATGTGCTTGGCATGCAGAAGGTCCCAGGTTCTGCCCCTGGCATCTCCAGTTAAAGGATCTGGCAGTAGGTGATATGAAAGACCTCTGCCCGAGACCCTGGAGAGCCGCTGCCAGTCTGAGTAGACAATGCTGATTTTGATGGACCAAGGGTCTAATTCAGTATAAGGCAGGTTAATATGTTCATGTTTAGTAGAAATCTTGAAAATATCTGTATTTTTGTAAGTACATAATCATGATGGGGCTTCTTGGTTCAGTTAATTCATTGATCTTATCATAAAAGCTGATATTTTGTTTAATTTTAGAATTGATGTTTTGAAACAATATCACTTTGATATTCCTTACAGATACGACCATATGTAGGCTGTTTGGTTCAGTATTTACCACTACTTTGGAAACAAAGCGAAGAACACAATATGCTCAGATGTGCTATCCTTACTACCCTAGTTCACCTTGTCCAGGTACAGTATCTGCATGTTTTTTAAGAGTTAGCTTGTGTACTATAAGAATGCTGGTAAAGATTTAGTAATGTCCCAATTCAAAAGAGAAGCTAGAAATCAACTTTACTAGTTCCTTAATAGGAAGGTGATGAAAGGCTCTGATTCTTATGTGGCACTCTTACATGTGTAAGCTTCCTCACTGACTTTAATCTGAGCAAAAATAGTAGTGAACAAGGATGCTTTCTGGATGATGAGACTGTGCTGTTCCCATGCAAAGAATGGAAGTCATGGCAAAAAAACCCTACCTATTTTATTTATTCCAAGTCGCTTGGCTTCTTTTTATAGTGTTTAGTTGTAACATAGTGTTTAGTTGTAACATGTGTTATTACTCCCATTTGTTAATGGAGAAGCAGCAGCAAATATTCATGTATTTTGTCATTTCTTTAGGGCTTAGGAGCAGATAGCAAGAACCTTTATCCTTTCCTACTCCCAGTTATTCAGCTAAGCACTGATGTTTCCCAACCCCCACATGTGTATCTTTTAGAAGATGGATTAGAATTATGGTAAGCTTGTTACCTTTTGTGTCACTATCCAGAGGAAATCAGTGTGTTTCTTTGTTGGAGGTATAAAAGGCATATCATGAATGTACCATGTACCAAGGCCTAAATGGTCTGGGACCCTTATACCTGCAGGACCACCTCTCTCGATATGACCCTCTCGCACCCTTCTTTGTTCATCACAGGGCCTACTGCAGGTGCTTGGTCCACTAGGTCACAGATCTTCTCAGTAGTTTCATTGCCCTCTGGAACCAGCTCCCTGAGGAGGGTTTTTAAAATTATTATTATATAAAGTCTTTATTAAGGATGTAAAATACATAAGAACAATACTTTTCCAAGAGTGTGTGCATAATAAGTTCCGTACAAAGAGCAACAATAATTACAACAAAATATCCATAAAATAATGTCATTTGTTCTAGAAATCATGCAAGAGTCCTACAATAAACTACAACCCTTAAGTTAACAAATGTTTACAACAATGTAAATCGTACACCATCTGGAGTAGTCAGAAAAGAGTTAGAGAGAGTTATATTATAACAGAGCTTGCAACAGAATAAAATCTACCACATCACATCCATTTATGGAGTTGAGACCATTCAGGAGAAAGGTATTGTTGCTGAGATAGAAAATCTAAGGCCGGGAACCACTTTGCAGTAAAGAAGGATCACTTTGGGTGGTGGCTTACACAATTCAGTTTCCCCATAACATAATCCATAATATAGCCTGAGGAGGTTTGTGCTCTGTGGGACCTATTAAGGTTCTGTGGGCCATGAAAGGCTGTCCTGTTTTGTGCAGCATTTAATTAACTAAGAGAAGGGTTGAGCCAGCAGGCTGTCCTGATTTGTTCCAGAGTTGATGACTGTTTGAATTTTTAATTAGAATATTTTATTGTATTTCTTTGTATTTAAGTTTTAATGCAATATTTTTTATGTTGTCAACCACCCTGAGTACTCTGTTGAGGAGATGATGTGGATTATAAACTGAATAAATAAATAAATGTTTGATTATTCCGTTAGCATTTGCTACTTTTTCCAGTGAGCAAGGTGCTAATTTTTAGAGTCAAAGCAGAGGACAAATTAGTTTCCTGCACATGGCTCTAAAAAAATAAGTCTTTGATGTATCCAGGCTAAGTCTAATGTTGCTGTAAAGAATTTGAATGGATGTTGTGGCTCCTGTTTTTGCTCCAGATTGATAGACTGGTGATACTTCTGGGCCTTATACCTTTTCCACTGCCCCTAACAGAAGAGGTGTGAAGTTTTGTGTTGTCCCCTGCCATTCAACATATTGATTTAATATAATCATTCTTATGGAATTACAGGATCTTAAATTTTAGCATTGCACCTCATCTGTTCACTAAATAAATACTGTCAGAGGCATGACTGTTTTATAGACCAGTAAATCCTGAACTATATCTTCAAAAAGACAGTTTTTCCTTCAGTTTCCTGAGGATAAGCGCTGCTGTATCAGTCCAGGAATAGCCTAAGATGAATGACAGAGACCTTATTAAGAATTTCTTGAACCAGTGATCTGTGAACCACACTTGGGAAAGCTGTGTCTTTTCTAGTTGTCATTTGCAATAGCTTATATGCAGGCAAAAATGACATTTTTTAGTGAAAAGGTGGGAGATCTATCACTGTAGTTGAACACTGTATCCGTAGTTTCTAGCTGTTGTACAGAGCCAAGGGATTAAATTTTTAGATAAGAGAGACAGAACAGTGGTGAAGAGAGAGAACAGTGCCTTAAGAGTGAATATGAGAAATGGAAGGAGAAAACTACAGGAAAAGTTTATGGGATATTTGAAGCACATTAATTATGGGACAGCATCAAGTATATTAATTGGTAATATGATAGCACTTCATGATGGTGGTACTTTTACCAGTTTTCTACCTACCACTTCAGTTTTTTCAGTTATTTCCCCCCCAAAAAAACTATGAATATCTGAATACAATTAACCTTAATTCGAAATACTGTTTTTAATAAAAATGAACGGCAGATTTGGAAACAACTAACTTTGAAAGATGACTAGAGTAGAATGCTTTGATTTAATAGATTCTGTTGATTTTTGGAAGCTTCAACAATGTTAGGCAAAAGTGCCTTTAATGTTCAGATTAAAGATAAGTGTGGGCTGACGATACTATATTTTTCCACTAGGCTAGTAACATTAGAGAATAGTCCCTGTCTTACTCCAGAGCTGCTGCGAATTTTTCAGAACATGTCTGCTCTTCTTGGTGAGTTGTCAGTATTATAACCTATGTATGAACTGAAAAGCTATGCTTCGGAGCTATGACTTCCTTAGCACTTCTTAATAAGAAAAGTGGCTCACTGATCCTTACCTTGTTCATCCTTGCAGGCCAGGAAGAACACTGTAATAAAATCTGCCAGTACTTTAAAAAGATGATGTGTGTTTTCAGTAGTTCATAGAATTTCTCCTGGTCTTCTACACACATGTTGAGAATTCATCCTGGTAATCTATAAAAGGAGTTTCAATCCAGGGAACAGTTAAAAGAATTTCGTTAGGATTAAGTGTCTTAAATGTACTGATATGTGTAAAGTACTTGTAGGTGCTATAATAATAATGTGTGGATTACAGGTTAACTAAAGGATTCTGCTGTTTTGTATTTTTAAAAGAGAGACCAGTCATGGCACTTAGAATCATAGAATGTTAGAGTTGGAAGGGACCTTGCAGGTCATCTAGTCCAACCCCCTGCACTCTGCAGGAGCATAGCTGAAAGATAGCCCTACAACATGCCCAAAAGATGGTCATCCAGCCTCTGCTTGAAAATGTCCAGCGAAAACGTCCAGCCCTACAACATACCCAAAAGATGGTCATCCAGCCTCTGCTTGAAAATGTCCAGCGAAGGAGCATCCACCACCTCCCGAGGCAGTCTGTTCCACTGCTCAACCACTCTTACAGTTAGGAAGTTTCTCCTGATATTTAGCCAGTATCGACTCCCTTGTAATTTCCACCCATTAGATCTAATCTTGCAATTCGGAGCAAAAGAAAATAGATCTGTTCCATCTTCTACATGACAGCCTTTCAAATATTTGAAGACTGCAATCATGTCCCCTCTAAGCCTTCTCTTTCCCGGGCTAAACATACCCAACTCTTTCAGCCTTTCCTCATAAGACTTGGATTCCAGCCCTCTCACCATCCTGGTTACCCTCTTCTGGACACACTTGAGCATGTCAACATCCTTCCTAAAATGTGGTGCCCAAAAATGTACACAGTACTCCAGGTGAGGCCTGACCATAGCAGAATAGAGCGGAACTACCACCTCCTGTGATCAGGATTTTTATTTTTCAGTTCAAAGATCAAAGTTGCCAAGTGTTTGTTTTTCATTGACTAAATATAATCTTTAGGAAAACTTTCCGTTTTGTAGATGATTTGTGAGGTGTATATATATTTTGCTTTTGAAAATGTGTATTTTCACTCAGTTTTATTTATTTACTGTATTTCTATCCTGCCA